ACAGGAAAGAGTTAAATATACTGAATAAGGCATTTGCCAGATCTAAAGGATATCGTAATTTAATTTGTGTCAGGCAAACGATTAATAAACTATTTAAAATAAGTTATGGACATTAACTCTGTATGAAGAAGAATTAACAGATTTTATTTATATATATGAATAGAAGAAAACGAAAATGTTACAACCTATACCCCTAAACGACAAGCGAATGTTACAATTAGCCATTTTCTATAAAATCTTTATCACTCCGCGTACGGCTCGATTTTGATAAATTCTGGTCCTGAAATATGACGCGTTTTATTTTTTTAATATTTCCTCTATCTTCATATATTACTATTCACATCTTTATAAACAAAATTAGTATAATGCAGGAATTTTAATAGTTTTTTAACTTTTAAAAATTATACAATACGGCCCACGCGGTTTTTAGCGTGCATGGAATAAAAATATAAAAAAACACAGGATCTTTCTGAATTTGATAAATATACATGCTAACTATTTTTTTACAGCTAATAATATTACTTGTGTTTACTTATTTTTATACAAAATTTCTTTTAGTGTGGTAAACTTTAAAGCATGGCTCTAAACATAATCGAGTTTTACATTCTTGACACCAAATGCTTTACGTATTTCCCCCCATTGTTGTCTTTTTTGAAGCAACACACAGCACATTACATTCTAGGTTTCTTTTTTTAGAATAAGGTTTTATGTGGCTTGCAAAATACCTCCCTACAAGCCGAATAAGTTCATAACTATCATCACTAGATCGCAATGATATAGCAGAAGAGTATTTGTTAAAGATTTTCCTGGATCACAGCTGGCCTGAAATCAAGAAAGGATTATTTCGTGTTTATTATTTTTCTGTATATTATATACGAATTCAACATTGTTTGATTCAATATATGAAAAAATATTTTCTTGTAATATTTACGAAGTTGTTTTTGGGTACTAGGGTAGTACAACATCTCCTGATCGCATCTGTCGACCCCCCCATTATAAAGTTATAATCATAAATCGCTTTTGGGTTTAGTTCTTCATTTGCCGTGACTGAATACAAATGACACATCATGAACTAACCGTATTTACTATTTTTTTATCATTCTACAATGACAGGAGCAATAGCGTCGATCGTGATCGGCTGTGAAGAAAACACAGTACTCACTTATATCAATGATATAAACCTGTAACGCCATCCAGGTGCAAAACGAAACGTGAAATATAAATATTACATTATTCTCAGCCTACACGGAGAAAAAGCGGGATCCATATTGAAAATAAGAAAAATAAACTTACGCATGTTATTTTCACACCACCCGTATTACAAGACGGATTTCGTATCCCGTGGAAATTGCGGGGGCCGTACGCCGAGGGTTAACAGATGATAGTAATGAACCCGAGGATTAACATATGATAGTGATGAATGCATATCTAGTTTTGTCACAGTAGTAAATTTCATATATTACCCAAACAAATAAAAAAATATAGGTCTATTCTTCCAAAACTGAAAAAATAGCAAGCACATCGGAAGGTTTAGAAGTGGTAGGAGTGAGGAAGGGGCCTTAAGTCAAGTCGTTGGATATTAAATTGGGATAATATACAGGTGACAAAGGAATAGATAATGCAGAATCGACGTCTATATCCTTCAAATCAGTAAGTCCAGAGATTTTTTTTCCTACTATAAAAAGCCGATATTTAGCATTTGTTGTGACGTATAAATTTTGAAATTTGATAGTATGTATGTTTTTTCTTAAAATTTTCTCGCATACAATCGCAATTGCAAAACTGCCCTAAATCTGTATGCTTTTTCGTAGTTTAAGCAATACGTGTCAACAATCTTTGCATAAAATTATTACGAAAGCTACACCTGCTTTTTCCGAAAAGCGTAAACCTTTCTCAAATATATTTTGTAACCTGAAAAATAATTAAAGTCTTTCGTTAAATAAAGTGGTCCCACTTTAAGATAATTTAATGAAGGAGGGAATATTTATAATCTATTCGCAGAGATGAAACAAATGAATGAAAAGCAATTTTGAAGCTGTTTTCATGAGAGACTTTAAAGAATGTTTTGCACTATTATTTTGAGACTACGTAATCTTTTTTTAATTTATTACAAATTAAATATTAACACAGCTTATTTTCTACGTTTCTCAGCCATAATAGCAATGCAATAAATACCAAAACTGTTTTCTGAAATATTCAATACATAGATTATGCCAATGACAATGAATCTTTCTTTCTGGAAGCATTTATTTATGATGATGCTGCAGTTGATAAATGAAATTTTCATCGAATAAAAGACATTCAGGACAGGAACTGATAAAACAATTTATCAGAAGCATGATTTATCCTTCCATTAGTTATTTCATATCCTTTTCTGAAGCATTAAAAAAAAAAAAAAAAAAAAAAAAATCAATAATTGTTTTTTTGTAAGTGATCATGTAACATAAATTGAAGTTCTAAGCTGAACAAAAAACAAGACAACGGACAAGCTGAACTGGAATTAAACGTTCATTATTTAACTGATGTTATTAATACAGAACGTGTGTTAAAACGATCGCATGACTAAGTTTAAAAACTGTATTATTAAGTGAAGTTATAAGGTATTTTCCCCGCCTTGCTTAGCGAGCCTTCGTGGTCTGCACGCTGAGCGCGTAACTGAGAGATTCGCGGTTCGATTTCCGGAAAAGGCGTTGCTAATTTTTCATCTTGCCTGCTTCCAAAAATACCTAATGTCTCTACAGTGGCGCCCGAACTAAAAAGGGTGTTTGATGATGATTCTTCTCACCCAGGATTTCGTGATTGGATCCCCTAAAAACCTCAGTCGCCCTTTAAAAGGAGGAATATATAACGTTCTTAGCGAGGCTTCGTCGCCTTCTTAGCGAGGCTTCGTCGTGTAGTGATCTGCACGCTCAGCGCCTAATTGAGAGGTCCACGGTTCGATTCCTGGCGAAGACGTTGCTCATTTTTCATCTTGCCTGTTTCCAAAAATAATAAATGCCTCTACAAAATAGTAGTTGTGCACACATGGAAAATGTTAGTTCTGCACACATTTAAGAAATAGATGAAATGAACTACGTTTTCATATTATTTTATGTCAGGGGTCGGTAACCCTTTTTTTTTTTTTTTTTACTTACTTTTATATTTCAGAAATGCAGGTGTTAGGATGGCAGTGTGGAGCTAATAATAATAAAAATAAATGTAAATAAAAAATAAATATATTTTAAAAAAAAAAAAAGAAAATCTGAAATGTTTCAGATTTTAAATTACGTCCAAAGGGGCGTTTTTTTAACATTTTGTGTGTTACATTCATTTATTAAATATCACGTTCTTCTCACTTAAACCATAAAATTCAGTTCAACAGCAATATCGCAAAATAGTTTTAAAATGAGCATATCTTTAGAATTTCCGATACAGAGACTCACGCGCTGGAGATAAACATGTTTTTTCTGTACAACGTCGCCATTGCTCGCTTTGAAATCTTTCAGTTTGTTAATCAAAAATTCGTTAAAGTTTTACAAAATAGGAAATCGATAATAAAACAAATCCCAAATTTCAAATTTGGTCTTCCACATGCCCATATTCGTAGGAGGATTACGTCATTCAAAAGTCGGTGGCTCTATGTACCGTTGTTTTATCACAATGCGAGAAACATACATACATTTATGCAGATTCTTCATTATTTAATTTCTTTAAATACAATACGGGGCTCTAATATTTGGTGGCAACAGTTTAAAAAGTGATTCGCGGTTTATAAATATTTTCGCCGAGATTCGAACTCCCAACTTCCCAACTGCTAGTTGGACGAGTTTACAATCCCACCACAAAGGCACGCGACAACGAGGGAGAAATCGGCTTACAACGTGTAACATGCATTTACACATTGTAACTAATTTACACATTAAAATCCTAGACGAAAGCATCCCTTGTCCTAGGCAGATAGTCCTCATGTGCTTTGCCATATTGCAATAATCTTTTCGTTAACAAGTTGTTAGCATTTTGCAGCTTTATTCACTGGAGAGCCACGGAGTAACAAATAGGCTTTCGTATACTAATTCTTGTAATACTGTTATTAGCCATAACAGTTTCATCATATGAATAATTCGAGACTATAATTAGACTAAACCAGATGAATTTAACCTCAACTTGGGGTAAATTTGAGAGTAAAAATATTACTGAAATGAGTCGGGATAACTGAAGGATTACGGTAAAATTTGGAACTTTTATGGAATCAGCGTACACCAGTAGCTAAGTGAATAGGAAAATTAACGCTGAATATTGGTAGTTCGATTGGAGTAGCAGTTGTGTGAGTGTGTGTAAAATAAAAAATATGAAACAAAATTATTAAATTTAATTGCAACAATTTGGTAATAAACTTTTAAATTCCTAATTGCGAAAATTTTGATTTAAAGTACAACCCATACAAAGCGTCTGCGCTTTCCCTGCAGTATTCGCTTTGCTGTAAACTTTGCTCAGTTGCTGCTGCTCAGGAATGAAATAAAGATTTTACGGCTTATAAGTATGACCGCGGTTTAGTACGCATTCCTCTTTCTCGCCAGCTGATGCTTGAATGAACCAAGCCTTTCGCTTCGCCTTCTTTCTTTATTATCTTTCGAAATGTAAACTACGTTTGTAGAAATTGTAGGGCGCGTTTAGCATTCCTAGTGTGGTACCAATTTAAGCAAAAGTGTATTTCAGAAGAATTTTTCTTGTTCAAAATAAAAGTAATATTTTAACGATTAACTCAGTTGTGAATTCCTCTCCAGTCATCTGCACAGCAGTTTTCTAGACCAAAGAGTGAATTGGTTTCATCTTCCGCTAGAATTACAACATCGCACATGCACGCACGCACACATACGAGTATATAGAAAACGTGTATAACGTGAATACAAGCTAATCACTTTTAGAAACTAAAATCGCTTCCTTCCCTTAGGCAGATAGCCTTTCCCTTTTTCGACACAATACATTAAGAATTATATGACCAAAATACAATACATACGCACCTGTTTTTTCTTCTTCAACGTTATACAGGACACCACAGATGACGGCGAAATTACATTCAGTCCTTCCACAGCTAAATTTGCAATAAATGCCTAAAGTTGCAGTAACATCTGGCGAATTTATAAGAAAATTCACAAATATTTTCATTACACTTTCTATGCATACTATTATCGGTACCTCATATCAGTGTTCCCACGCGAAGTATGTTAAGAAATGCTAACACGTTAATGTTATAAAAATTCATGGAGAAACGTATAAACAAATGACTTTATACTCGTTACCATCGTTACTTAAAAGATTGAAACGGTGACTTCCTAATTTATCTTATCTTACTCTAAAAGGAACTGAGTAAATGTAATTGCGTATGTAGCAGTTTTTGCTGTATGTATGTTATACACAGGCAAAAATTCGCTGATTCTTACTTATTAGAAGTTTTTCCTTTAAGTGATTTTGATCGGTAATAACGTCCCGACAACAATTTTAATAAATAAATTTTCAAGAAATAACTTCGTCAATTATTGTTCATAAGAATAAATACTGAGCTAAAAGAACAACACTAAAGAATTAAATTCTTTTTAAAAACAGCTGTTGACGCCTCCTCTTTTTTTTAATTTACGGGGTTGACTTGTGGCCTAGGGGTTAAAATCGGGAAACTATGGTATCAAGCCCATTCGAGTTTCTGTCTACAAGCCAAAAATACTACTTTTAACTGACGTATTAGAAAAACAGACAGAGCCAATGTCGTGTACGCATGCATAAACTGTTATCTTCCGCACAACAGCAGGTATTATAACTAATGTCTTCGGAATTCGTATCATTAGTATAATATGTAGCTTCAGTATTTGTTATGCACTCAACACATTACTCACAGCATATCACATGCATATAAGTATTTGTATGATTAGTGCTTGTCTCACTCGCAGTGTTTGTTTGTATTAGTATTTTAGTGTTTATTATTCATCTCTAGAGTTGTTTTATGTGATGTTCAGTGATGCACTACCTGTTTGGATAAGTGTCTGTATTATATGTTCATCCTGAAATATGCATGCCTCAAACGTGTCATGTTCAGGACCCATATGTCTACAATCAGTAAATACCATTCCTTCGCATTTATTAGCATCTAGCCTTTGTCTGCCATTATATGCTTTTGAACATCTTTAAATGAACTCCCGATGCGGTGCTGCTGGAGCATCAGGAGCTGCTTGTCCTGGATAGTTGTGGGCTCTTCGTAATACCGGAATAGTCAATTTAAGGCGCCGGGTGTTTGGACCCGATTTCATTTGTATGCATGAAGGCCCCGCAAAACCGGTATAATGGTTAGTGACGTTGACTGCAGTACCGATGGGCCTGAGTTCGAATCCTGGAGAAAGCATGGATGCTTGTTAGGGTATAGCGTATGTGCGGCAAGGAAGCAGTCAAAATACACAGCGAGCCAAAAGTTCTTTCGAGAGGTTGATGGTAGGAAAAGAGGGGTGGGACAACCTCAGACCGCTGCGTGGGGTGCTCTTCCTCCATTTTCACGTATACTGCGAATTGCATGTATACAGTGCATTCTATGTGTTTTGTATACTGTTAACTAAAAGCGCAACACTGAAAGAAAATTGCATTTGTACCAACATGTATATAGTAAGTGTTTTGCATTTTATTGAAAACTGTGTATTGTATAGATCCTTATGTACACATAACTGTATATGCTATGTGTATATTGCAAATTGCAAGTAGAAGCACTTGCGACTTTACTTGCATGTGTTCTGTATTTTAATTGCATGTTGTTAACCAGAAGCTCGTATTGAAGGTACACTGCGAAACAAAGGGGGACAGTTCTGTATCTCTCATTCTACTGGGCCAATTTTTGAAAGCGCGATTTAAGGTATATATTATATTTAAATATAGTATCATTCTAACATAGGTATTTTGACACAAAATCGGACTTTTTCTGAAATGACATGCCAATTTTTTTTCCATATTTCGATTCTACGATTCAAATTATGCCTATAGTATAGTTTTTACTATTCTAAGCTGAGCGAATGTTAAAGTAGTTATATATACGAATATGTTCCATAACTCTGACTGATAAAATAAAAAGAATTTAAATGAGTGCTCACAAACATTACAAGCTTAAGGTTGATCAGTTAAGACAGATGAACAGTGGGTATTCGTTTTGGGTTCGGGTCTTTAGACACTTTTGACCGAATGGAGTTTGAGCAGTTTTTTTTCCATGTGTAATGTAGTTATCACAGTTTCCTCTAGAAAGTCTTCCAGGAAGACATCACTTTCTTTACTCAGATAGCTCTTTCGAGCTTTGTCGTAACAATTAACGTAACCTAATCGTTAATTTCTCATGACTGTATCTCATGTATGAGTGATAGTTAAATATTTGTTTAAGTACGAAACACTGAAATATTGCTAAACCGTTTGCTAGATAGGTGTTCACTTACATGAATTATTCCGAATACCTAAAATGGAGTTGGCCGAGATGTCTGCCTAAGGAAAATGATGCCTTCGTGGAGGACGTTTTAAGGAAAACTGGTTCGTATACAAGTTGCATATGGGGAAAACTACGGAAATGCCCATGCAGCCAGCCCGTTCGCGGGATTCGAACCTGCGACCGAACTACCAGTGTTCAGCGACTTTACCGCTCGCCCGCTGGTGGACATTAAATAGGTAGGGATACGCAATTTTCGTGTTTAAGAAATAGATGAAAACCAAATTTACCAATATTAGCGATTAAATAGAAAACCTTCTTTATGAACTTTTTTGAGCAAATATTGGTAAAATTTGAACAATTAAGGATAACTAATTCAATTCACGTGACTCTCGCCGCCCAATGTCTAGTCACATATTGGTCGGGGTCTGTTTCTATGTTATAGAAACTTACTTCGCCCTTCCCTCCTGTACGTTTCTATTCATTCTCTCAGCACCACTCGTCTCACTTAGCGAGTTCAGTTGTGTCACAAAGTGTGGAATAAGGGCGTGTTTTGTTTTCTAAATACATAACTTAATTCAATCACCTTAAATTTTTATCAGTATGAGTTGCCACAAAAAAGAAATTGTTGACAGAATAAAAGCGTTTGCCTGAGAGGATTTGTACACAAATGACACACGCATCATTATGCGTAAATATTATACTGATCGCTCAGAAGAACAGGAAAAGTGTATTCTAATAAAACATACAATTAGTGGTAGTCAGTTAAAAAAATGATTACCCAGCTCAGAATCATACGAGATTATGCAGTAGACTACAAATGTCCGTAGCTTTCAAATGCAAAATCTTGCCGAAATAAAAAATTGTTTAGAATACTGTGAAAATTTGTTTAAAAGCAAATATTCTGCTGCGATCACCGAACTATGATCATTTAGTAAAATGCACGTTTGGGTTTAGGTAATGTTTATTTTGGAAGTCCGTTGAGACGTAAGAGTATGTACCACTTCATGTATTCAGAGAACAAGCAATGCAAGATAATATAACTAAATATAGTAAATCGGTTGCTTTAGTGCCTGACGAAAATCTGACAAACAAGGAAAGAAGAGTATGTATAGCATTATTGAAAACTATTGCTTTCGAAACGAGGCAGTCATTTTTGTTAGCAAGTGCAAACATTTTAGACAATATTAATTCTTCTGCTTGCTCTGAAGCAAGAGTTGAAACGTTAAAGGAATATGAAACAGAATACTTGCAAGTATGAGATTCTGCGCCCTACATTGCTGCCTAATTCAGTCTATTGAAAATAATTGTTGGGACTATATTTTGCACTACCAATGATCGCTGCATATATTGGCGACGTATTTATAAAAGAATTGAAAACATTAAACGCCACTGTAGTCAAAATGAAATATACTTACTTAAGGTACACCGCGGAAAAAAAAAAAAAAAATTGGGTCAGTTCTATACCTCCCGTTCTACTGGGCCGATTGACGAAATTCAAATTACGTTTTTCAGATCTCCAAAGCGCGATTAGGATATATATTAGATTTATTTATAGCATTGTTCTAACATAAGTATTTTGACACAAAATGGGACTGAACAACATACCAATTTTTTTTTAATATTTCTATTCTACGACTCAAATTATGCCTAAATATTAAATTTTGTAAAATTTGGTGCGAAATTTACGGAGAAATTTTAAAATTTAACTTGGCGCATTTTTTTCCAGTTTGCGCCAAGAGCAATTCACTTGGCGAACTTAATATATTGCAACCTATTTTCCTTTCCCTTCCATTATGCAGGAGCGGAAAAAAGTCGCAGCGTTCCTAGCATTTTACATTGCGCATCAGCGGGAAAAAAGTGACATCGTTTCTACTTTCAAATAATTTTAACAAAGTGCATAAACCACATTTGACGTTATTATCGTCTTCAACAAATATGCCAAATATCAAAACGCGCCAATATATAAATATCTTCGGAAATTTTGAATGAAAAACTCTAATTTTTTACAGGTATGCTTAGAAATACATTTATTTTAAGATGATGGCAAACATTTTATAGATTATAATTCAAAATCTTTTTCGAAAAATTTATTAAATTTTTTGGTACTTTTCCATTTTGCCGGCGCAAGGAATAAAGTCGCCAAAAATGGTACAACCGATGCCAACTTCAATTTCCTCGCTAGTAACCTTTTACGAATCATTTTCAAAACACGTCGCATCCATTTCTTATCAGATTGATTGTTTCTTTCAATTCTTATCAGATTGATTGTTTGGCATACAATTACATATAAGTTTAACCAGATAGTTCAATTTTATGCCTTTTATGTAATTAAGTCAATTAGGAAGCAATCACACCGCTCACCCGAAGGCAAAAAAGGCAAAGTCAAGGGTTAAATTCTTCAATTCTCAATTCTAAGAATGCACTAGCGAAGTAAAGCACTGCGGTTTCACATAATTTCCGAGTAAGCTATTCGTACGAATTGAAATAATTCTTGCATTTAAAATTTGTAATCTGAATTACGATTTAACTTGAAATTAATGTAGATAATTACTGAGAAAATTAGATTTTTATATCGTATTTTACGTGAGATGAAATTACTTACTTGGGGTCACGTGATATGAAACGGAAAATCAGGATGTAGTACCATGAA